GATGACGCGTCGGTGGTTCCACCCAAGCAGTGACATTCCAGAGTGGACGCCGGAGTTCAGCAGCCTTACAAAATATTTCCAGTGCAGAAAACCGAGCGGGTTAATGCGTGCGTCGTCGTCTCTTTCTATCTCTCTCTCTCTCTGGCAGTTCTAGCATTCCGTTGTCGACCAATCACAAAGTGAGGACGACCCCCCCCCCCTCCACCCCCCCCCCCCCCGGCGGTTCATGGTGCGGGACACTGCACCAGGCCACCGCCGTCGCCACCTTCCGCGCCCAGGCGCCGGAAAATCGTGCTGACCACTCGCCGACACGGCGCCACGGCGACCGCAACACGGCCTCCGATCCAAGTCTCGACCCGCCGCGACCGCAGAGCGGTCTCCGAGCCCCCATTCGAGCCGTCATGACCACAGAGCGGTCTCCGAGCCCCCATTCGAGCCGTCATGACCACAGAGCTCCCGCCGGGCGCCCGCCGGCGGCGCGCGCCCTCCCGGGTCGCAGACCGCGCCCCGCCGATCGCCCCGGGCGCTCGGGCCGCAGCGCCCAGACGCGGTCCGGGACCGGTCACGTGGTTCCGTCCAGTGCGCGGCGGCCCGAGATGCGGGGCTGGTAGCGTGCCGGCTGGCAGTTGGCCGGTCCAGCGGCAGCGATGCGCCGCTGGGAGCCGGGCGGCGATCCGTGCGGTCGGCCGGCGACCCGTGCGGTCGGCGCGGCCGCCGCGGCGGACGGCCCGGCACGCTGGGGTCAGCGCGCGCCAGCGGAGTCGGGAGCCGCGCACGGAGCCGGGGCCGCGCACGGCTTCTGGGTCAGCCGTGCTCAGAGATGGCCGCCGTGCAGGCAACGGAAGTGGACGACATATGGACAGTGCAGCGTTGTCGGTGAAGACGAGCAGTTATTGGCGTGTTTAGCGATTGCAATGAGCAGGTCATAATGATGACGAGGATCACCATGTCCTCGTGGTGATAAAAATCGACGGTCGACGTCGTGGTGGTCGGCTGACTGTGCCTTCAACCACCACGTTCCAGGCGCAGTCAATCTACCGCCTGCACTCCGGTTCCTCCTACGAGATTCGCATGAAATATTGCCATAGTAATGACTACGTCATCGACGCCCGTCGTTTAACAACCGACAAATTGCTATTGATGACTAGGCTTTCGGCGGATATAACTAACGTACCTAATAAGCAATCAGCAAATGAGCACATGATGTGCTGCGTTATCTGTTAGCAGGGGATGACTGTAGGCAAAATACAGCACATTCTCGTGCTTAAGCCATGTCATTATCCGTTTTCTGCACGTAAGTTTACGCAGATTTCGTGTTTGTATTCCCGACCCAGAGAGAGTTAAACGGTGCAGTTCTTCCTTCTAATGCGATGCAATTTGAGAGGGGGTAGGTACAGAGCGTGAAGACCGAACGGTACTGAGGTACTACAGACTGTTCTAAATTTTCCATTTTCAAAACATCACATAACAACTACATAGAACCCGCGACCCCATTCACTGCGCGCGTCGCTGCATTCTCCCTCTCGAATCGAATGGAAAAAGAAAATGGCCGAGTGTAAGCAATGTGCATCACAGGCTCTCATGAATATATTCAAAATCTGCATCGATATCCGCTAAGCTTGACTATTACTAAGCTCGACGATGGTGGCTTAGTTGGTACAGTGAGAGTGATAACGGATCGTGATGAGTATCGCAGGCTCCCCTGAAGACATGCAAATCAATGCCCACTTAGCTCGACCACAACAACTTGGCCAGGCGGTGAGCGCTCGGGTGCGGGTCAGTTAACCTCCCGAGATCTCAGGAACGAAGAGAGCTAGATACACTAAGTTCACAGGAGGCTGTACTGGCCTGCACGTGAACTCACGTAGGTCAAATTTAGAGGCTCCTAGGTCATGACCCTTGGGCCAATTAAGGTCAAACAAGGTCAAACTCAATATAGTACCCAAAGTGCCCTCAGAACCTAGATGCCTGTTCTAAGCAAAATGACGCATGCTCATTTAAGGTCAATAACCTTTTTGACCTTACGAAAGTCACGGTAACAAAATTATAGAAGACCTGCTCTGAGTTTTGCATTTGAATAAGCGATAGAGATTACGGTAGGCAGTGTATTCCTAAAAACCAAGTGCTGACCAGAGCCATTTTAGGCTAGTGACCTATTCTGACCTACAAGAAGTCCATTGGAAGATGTCTAATGCGGTTCCTGTTATCAGTAAATTCGAAATGAGCACAATTAAGTTCCCTTATACATCAAGCCCTGGAATAATAAAACACGCCGGTTTCAACCTTGGTCTGAACTTCATGCGTGACCCCAGGTCAATGAATTTTTTTCCATTCATTTGTTGAGTTGCCTAAGAAGGCATCTCACAAATGTATGGCATCGTCTAACACTCCGTTCCTGCATCAGACTCAACGATTCCCTAGAAATTAACTTCGCTGAATCCAGGTTTTGGCTTTGACCTGCCGAAGCTCAGTGACCTTACAAGGCAACTTCAATTTTTTTATACCAAACGATCCGCTATACAATTGTCTACAGCTATGCAAAATTTGGCCGCACCTTCGGGTGGGGGGGGGGGGGGAGTTCAAATCGGCCCCTCACCCGAGCGCGTGTTAAGGTATCCTATGCTGTCGTTGGGACAGAAGTCCTTCACATCGATGCCCGCTAAGCTTAATTCTAAATTCAACAACGGCAACGTGGTGGACAGGCAGAACTGCAGTTTTCGCTCAGTGCTGCGCGCTGACGGTCCATACTGGTGAGCAACAGTATTATGCAATTATGGTTTTCTGTAAGCATAATTTGCTTACACTTGTAACACTTGCGCGGTTCCTCTTCCTTATCTTGCGAAACCAGTGCGATCAATCATTTAAAATGTTTTATATGTGTAAAAGGCTTTTAACGTACTATTTTTTACCTTCCCACACTACCCCATTCAACAATAATAAACGGCTAAACCATTTGCGCGAGCATTTCAGGTCGATCTAGCAAAATCAACATGTGATGACAAAAACGGTAGCCGTAAAACGGCAACTCAAAACTGGCGCGGGCTGCGCACGTGGGAAAAATCAGTGTTCGCGTTTCCATCACAATTTATAAATAACAAATCCCAAGGAATATGTAGTTGTAAACGCGATGAGGGCTTTCTTTTCATTTTGTCTTTTTTTAAAGTATTGTGTACTTTTTACTGTACTGTTTTCAAGTACTGCTTTTTTCTGTTTTAAGAAGCATTGTGTACTAATTAAGAAGTACTTGTGTGCTTTTTCATCAGCCTGTCAATTATCCAGAATCAAATGATTTTGAAAACGAACAGCATTAACTGAGGCGAGATGTCGATCAATTTGCGACACAATACGATGATATCCACTATCCAAAAGAGCAAAAAAAAGAAGAGCTTTCCCTGTCTGCCCAATTTCCAACATGGACTCTGGTACTTTTTTAATTCCAAATATTTGGAATCAAACCGGCACCTTTGTTGAGAGGATTTGCAAGAGCATGCAAAGACGGTCCATAACACAAGGTCCATAACACAAGGTCCATAATACAAGGTCCATAACACAAGGTCCATAACACAAGGTCCATAACACAAGGAAGGGCGTTGAAGCACGGTGCATAACGCGACAATGCGAGAAATCTTATCGTTGCATTTTAACTGAAGTACTATTCACTGATATACAAGCGGAGAGCACGTTTTATCTCACTCCAGACGAATGCCTCGTCTGCACTTGATGTATTTGAACACTGAAGACATGCCTGGACTTTATGGCGTTTCTGATGTCACATCTAGGTCCGGCCCAAAGTGCTGTTAAGGTGGGTATAAATACATGTGACCCCAAATACATGTGGTCTAAATAGCTCATGGCTCCCGCAAAAAACAAACCAAAAAGTCAAAAAACAAAGAAGCAAATATCCTGTGGCCCAAAGAGCTCCCCAAAGCTTTTTTCATGCACTCAGCGTGAAGTAGTGCGGTGATCTCCAGAACGAATTCCTAGAACTGGAGTTGAACAGATTAGGTGATAGGTAAACACGTGCTTGTCGTGTCCCGCCCAAGGTGTTCACCAATGTACGTCAATTTGTTCTAATTGGATTTCCAGGCTGTCCCGCCTACCCGTCCTCGGAAAGGACATTAACTGGAGCGCCCTTGCGCCCACACACAACTCTTTCCATTCCGCTCGGGTGTGGGCCTTCCAGGAAGCGGTGAGACCTGCTCAGATCGGGATCTTTCGGTCGAGCCAGGGCGGAAGGGCCTGGATCTGGTCGTTTCAAAACGAGAGAACTCAGAGGCTTGACATGATCTGTTTGCTGTTAAGTCAAACAGAAGAGCCCGTCCGGCCGCCCTGCACTTTCTTATCGGTTTTAGACAGCCATTTCTAAGGTACAGAAGCATGCGAGACATCTTTGAGTCAAGACATTTTGAAATACCGTAGTCTTAGTCTAGTCTAGTCTTAAGATACTACTTAAGACGCTCTTCAAACTATGCACCGTTATTATGTAGAACGCACACAAGTTCCTTGCCCACAGCTGAGCCTACCCTCAACATTAGGCTGTCTTGAACGAAGCAAATCAGCCGAATAAAATCCAGTGCGCCCAGGAACATCATGTCCTGTCACACATTCATGCGACAGCATTACACCATGACGAAGTGTTTGCGCACTGAACCCGGCCGCAGCAGCCGTGCACTGGCCAGGTCAAGGTCAATGAAGCATCGGCATCGGCGGCGGCTCGGCCGGGCCAGATGACAGCCGCGCCCCTCCGGCGACCGAGTTTCACCCGCTTTATCTGCGCACCGACTGTCGATCAAGGGGCCATCCTGGCCAGCGGTGATGTCACATCCGGGATAGAGGTCAGCACCACGACCTCCTCCGTGTCGACCGATCGTTTCCAGGGCGGGCCGCGTCCCACGCGCCGGGGACATATTAATGAGCCTGATTAGAGAGGGGAAGACGTGCCGGCCGGCGCGCGGCGTATGAGCAACGTCGCGCGCGCAGAACGGGGCGTCCGTGCCCACCTTGCTGCTGGAGGCTGTATTGAAGCCCCTCGGGCGGCTTGAGGATCCTCAGCTTGAGCGCGTAGTTGACCATGCACGGCAGCGTGCTGCGGAAGAGCTTGGTACGCTCCGCCGGCGCCAGCTGACTGATGTACAGCTGCAGCCCGTCAAACCGACTCGGGTCCGCCGGGTCGTCGCTGGGGTCAAGGCCGACGCTGAAAGGAGCAACGCAGGCAAATTAGCCAGTCACGATGCAGCGGTTAGTTACAGCGGAACATCACGTCTTCGAACCGCGGCGCGCCGAGTTAGTCGGCCACAGAGTCCATAGGACACAAACGGTTCGAGCATGGCAGGCGTGCAGAGGCGTGTTTCGGTGCGCGCGTCACGGTGAGCATCCACTTACAAATTCAGAAATTATGTTGCACTGTCAAAAATATAACCGTCAGTTTTATCCCGACATTTTCCCATTACCCTCGGATGCATTCAGGGTGTCATCTCGCCTGCACCTTAATGTCTTATCATTCGTCATTCGCCATAGATCGGGAAGGCCGCCGCTCTGACCTACTTCCGGCCGCTCCGTGCCGACGCCAGCTGCCCACGACCTCACCGCCGCCGCCACTGCGCAGTGAACCCAACGGTCCTGCTTTCAGCGTCGGCTTAACGGCGGGTCATGAGACATACAAGCCGAGGTCAAAGCCATTTCGAATGACAATTAACCCGCAAGTCCTGTGCACTGTTCAGTAGTCTCATTTGCCTGCAACTGGAACGGCGCCGCGCGGCGTGCAGCGGCGCTTCAGTTGCTTTGCGTCCATGAGCGTGAGCGTTCCCCGCGCAACGGTCACAGGCGTATCCGAGGACAACGTCACGGGTGCGCCGTGATTGGCGCATCCCGCGCTTCCAAATGGTTCCGTTCACGCAAACAATTGAAGTGTAATCGGACGGTGATGACTTATCGCCCCTCACAAATTTCGCGGCACACACTGGCTATGTTCATAAAACGAATTCACGCACAGGACAATATATAGTCATATCGGAGGGCACGGGCACCAAGGTATGGCTATCAACCAGCTTCAAGAAGGCACCGGCACGTTATGACATGCTCATTAGAAAGCAGCCACCATTCCTTGGAATAACGAGACACCATATACGGGACCATACACCATATGTAGGTGATACAGCAAAGATGGTAAAAGTCCCTAGGCCTTGAGTAATAGTACATTTGAGACATTTCAGATCGTGGAGCTGATGCTATCACGACTTTGCTCTAATTAGGGAGCAAGCTTTGCGTAACTGCCACCGCACGAATGATTCGTACTGACACTTCGACGCTTTCGCTCAGGCCGCTGATACAGCTGGAGGGTCCCGTAATACAAAACATCTTGCGGCGGCCGGGAGAGGATAAGATCTTCACAGGCATAGGAGCGCACTTGTGCTAAAACGTCCCAAAGCCACAAATAAATTTGGCGTATCTTGACATCGAGACACGACTTGCAACACGTCTGGCGGCTGAACGGCCATGAGAGCGCCAAGGACGACTCTAAAATGCTGCCGTGTTGACGTTGGCTGCGGATGGCCAGCTGACTTGTCTCGTTTTCGGCGCGGGTCAGTGGGGCACGGGGTGACGCGTCGTCTGACGCTGTAGCTTCTCATCTCTGAATGCGGCCTCGAGCAACACATATTGCGCCTACGTGTTGATCTATGCTGTTCGCATCTTGAAGCACATTCACGAGAAGTAGTCGTCTGATGCCTTGTGCCGATTAAAACTCTTCCATCATTGGGCTCATTGGCTGATAAAGATAAGCTACCTCACATGAAATAAGACAATATGTGTCGTAAAACAACATTATATGTAAAACAAGAATATGGGCACGGCAATACCATCACGGTAATTGTTATATTGCATCGTATGCTGGGATAAAAGCGGGTTGCTTGGATGCCTCACCGGTCATCTCACGAAGTCATTCGCACGGCATTGAATAAATCGGTAGCGACAAATGCAGTGTCCACAATCCGGGTAAAGTCTACGGTAGAGCACGTGCCGCCGATCCTGGACGTTTAGATTCACTCCTCCCGGACAGACGTACCACATCTCACAGTGATGACCTCTAGATCAGGCCGTCAGCTGCATGGCAAGCCCGGACAGACACACGCATGAGGGCATATTGTGTCATGTTGCCACCGTCGGCTGCATGGCAAGCCCGGACAGACACACGCATGAGGGCATATTGTGTCATGTTGCCACCGTCGGCTGCATGGCAAGCCCGGACAGACACACGCATGAGGGCATATTGTGTCATGTTGCCACCGTCGGCTGCATGGCAAGCCCGGACAGACACACGCATGAGGGCATACTGTGTCATGTCGCCACCGTCAGCTGCATGGCAAGCCCGGACAGACACACGCATGAGGGCATATTGTGTCATGTTGCCACCGTCGGCTGCATGGCAAGCCCGGACAGACACACGCATGAGGGCATATTGTGTCATGTTGCCACCGTCAGCTGCATGGCAAGCCCGGACAGACACCCGCATGAGGGCATATTGTGTCATGTCGCCACCGTCAGCTGCATGGCAAGCCCGGACAGACACACGCATGAGGGCATACTGGGTCATGTCGCCACCGTCAGCTGCATGGCAAGCCCGGACAGACACACGCATGAGGGCATATTGTGTCATGTCGCCACCGTCGGCTGCATGGCAAGCCCGGACAGACACACGCATGAGGGCATACTGGTCATGTCTGCCACCGGGCTGCATGGCAAGCCGGACAGACACACGCATGAGGGCATATTGTGTCATGTCGCCACCGCCAGCTGCATGGCAAGCCCGGACAGACACACGCATGAGGGCATATTGTGTCATGTCGCCACCGTCAGCTCCATGGCAAGCCCGAACAGACACCCGCATGAGGGGATATTGTGTCATGTCGTTGCGGGCGTATGGGCAGGAATGGTGAAGTAATGCGCGGTGTACCACCTTGGTATACCACGAGTGATGCTGCGCGGTGTCCGAATGAGGTGGTGCCCTTATGCTTTTGACTGACAATGCTGCGCACGGGCATCGGTGTGATGCACTGGGCTAAACGCTCGCCAACCATCGTATGCGAAAAGTCATGGCTTTAGGCTTGGACGCAGGCCTAATGTTTTGTCGTGTTTATGGACAACCAGCAGGAATGATGTCGACGTCGAACAAGCTGAACAAAATGAATGCCAATAATCATACAACCCGCCAAAAGTAAGTAAAGGACACTAAATAACCATAGGGTTATAACAACAAACCCCACAACGCCACGCTGCCCAATGGTTTTCGCGATATACTGTCCAAATGGTATCATTCTCGACTACATGCACCATCGAGACCATAGTTGGTATCTCCAAACCAAACGTGTAAGCGCTCCAGGTCTATGAAATTCAACGCTTGTCCCATGCTGGTGCACGACAGGAAACAAATCCCAGACGCGGCTGCGCCACGCCCCTCTCGGCCGCTCCGACAGCCACTGGCGACTGACGGGCGACCTCTCGACCGCTCCGGCGCCCACTGGCGACTGCCGGACGACCTCTCGACCGCTCTGGTAGCCACTGGCGACTGCCGGGCGACCTCTCGACCGCTCCGTTAGCCACTGGCGACTGCCGGGCGACCTCTCGACCGCTCCGGCAGCCACTGGCGACTGCCGGGCGACCTCTCGACCGCTCCGGCAGGCACTGGCGGCTGCCGGGCGTCCTCTCGACCATTCCGGCGCCCACTGGCGACTGCCGGGCGACCTCTCGGCCATTCCGGCGCCCACTGGCGACCGCCGGGCGACCTCACGGCCGCCCTGGCATCCACTGGCGACCGCGGACGCCAGCAAGCGTGTTCGGCTTCAGAACGGCGCTGGCGAGGCGCCACAGTTGATGTTCTGTCCAGACTAGGCCCACCAAAAACTGGCTCGAGGAGCGCACCGACAATGTCTCCGTCGATAATGAGTCAAAATGCGCATTAATTACTGAGGAGCGTGAGGCGGTGCCGCACGCGAGCCCGGGTCAGAAAAACCGGCCGTGCCGCCCCCGTCGTGCACAGACAAGGACTGTTTTTACTGCAATTATATGTCGACTCGGCAGCGTTAGTTCCACAAACGCCGCGGCTGAAAAGAGGCGGGTGCCGCGTGGTGCTGTGACTGGTGGCCGCCGGCGGGGTTAGGGCGGGGAGGGGAGGGGACCTCTAGGGACTGGGGAGAGGGGAGTGACCACGGCTGTCGTGCCCTCCTCAACTTTCAACTGTAAAAGCCCCGCACGTACCTTGCCTGCCCGCGGCGCTACTATTCTGGTGGTTGAATCCGCAAGTCATAGCCGTGTCATTTTGGCTGATGCAACCCGGATTTCAAAAACGCACATCCACTACGTCCGACATTAAAGTGGTGCGGCTCCACCAGGACTCCACCTCTTCCGTGAGGTACACAGCGGCGGTGGAACTGGAGTGTTTGCAGCCGGGGAGCGGGCGGCGGCGACCAGAGAACGCCTGCTCGAGAGGCCACTTTAAGACCGACCCAAACCAATCGGCGTTTAACGTTCGAGCCCCACGACTGGGAGCGGCGGCGTGACGCAGTGGACCGACGGGTCACGGGGTGGACAGCCCGCGCGAGCCTCGCTCCATATTTCATAGTCGTTGCATTGTTTCCATGTTCGTTTCAAAGTTCCGCTCTGCAGGGTGGTGGCGACGTATGCTCACTGCACCTGTGTCGTTAAACGCTTGAAAGTGGATAGGGACCATGGCCTTCGGCTTTGCGTAACAGTACGCATGGACATGCTGGGCATCGGTATGGGTAACGTTTGATGGTTCTGACCATTCTGTGGGACGGTGGCCACGCGTATTCACTGTACAGTGCTGCTCAGGAGCCGAACGATGTCGCAAGACCGTCACGCCGAGAGTACTGTCGCGTCGAAATCACCTCTGAAGAGAGCTGCTGACTTAGTGGCTGGAGGCTCTTAATCTCTTGTTCACCGAGGCAATTCAATGATAACAAAGTTGCCAGGCACCCATGAGCGTAGATCACGCTCACCGTCAACGCATGCCGATGTTGGTTATGAAAACACTCAAAAGAGCTGTTGTGCAGCGAGCAGCCGACAGGCATTATCGTGACCGGAGGAGACTGTCATGCGGTCATGCCCTGGATGTTGAGAACAGGTCGGGAAGATCAGTGCAACAGTTGAGTGAGAACATCGCGGTAAGCGGAGCAGAACAACCTCCTTTGAACTGTCCGCCCAATGGCACGTTTGTTTGGACAGCGATGCAAACACATGCTCGTTCGCTGCGTGTGGAACGTCGGTTACGGATACATCATCCGTAGCATTGGATGGTGTACATACCAGTGGAGGAGGCGACTGGGCTGCGAATTCCTGGTCGGTGTCATGGACATCATGAAACATAAAGGCATTCTTCACGGTATGTTCGCACCCTTTTAACCCCGTGAAGAGGTACAGCCAGCATTTGGTTAGCGGCGGGAGGGAAACGGAGCTCAATGAGAAAGCATCACGAGGATTTTTCTTCATCAGGAGAAAATCTAGGGTGAAAAATTACAAAAATGCGAGCCTAAGGAGGGTGGGTTGGTGAGTGGTGGGGGTGGGAGTGGGGGGTCCAGCCCTCATTGTTGCACTTGTGGCCGTAAAACATGAATCTTTTTAATTATGTTAGTGATGCTTATGTCTGCTCGCCACTCTTGATGCCCTCCCACGCCCTCTGCTATCCTGCTATCCACGAGAGTGGAGACGCTGGCGCCGGCCGGAAAAACAGCGTCGAGTCAGACCTTGAAAAACTTTATCGGTTAGCTGTAACTGAAATCGATACAGAGCTTGATTTGAAGACTCGGACCAAACCATTTGGGCAAGAATAGTGTGCCCACACCGACCCCTTTATTATTAGAACGGTGTGTGTTTTGGTGAACGTTAACAACGGCACCGTACAGCACTTGATAGAAGGCGGTAGCTTTGCGGAATTATTAGGGGGAGTGATACATTGGGCTGAGGGATAACTCCATTTCGCACAGGACCGACAGGCTCATGTTAAAGCTGATGCATATTAGGGAGCCTGAGCCCTACCCATGTATGCAAAGTTCCCCATGCCCTGGAAACTTTCCATATCACGTCAACACTTACTCCATCAACATTTCTTGATTTGGCACATTTTACCTACCTTGACTAAATGACCTGATTCAGGATACAAAATACGAGATATGACCCAGCTAAGTTTTAAGTTGCAGAATTCTTGCAGCATCGAGTTTAAAAAACAGCGCAGAACGGTGCTTAAAATGCACATTCTACAACGGACAAACGCCAACAGCTGTAACGTCTGTCCCTCCGTTCGCTTTAACATGTGTTTGACTGGGTGTTAACACAACGCACACCCAACATACCATGTGTAAACTGGCTCTATTTCATGAGAGACAGAGACGAGCTGACACATAACCGACGACTCAAACAACTCCACTTAAAGCGGCGGAACATGTCACCGGCCGTGTGTCCAATCAACCTGGTTGACACCCGCCAAGAGCCTCACTAGCTTTGTTCTGTAAATACAGCGGCGAGCAGACACATGCAGCACCCTCTATTGAACCGAGCAGGCCTGGAGTTTATTATTGAAGTCGGTGTTCAGAAATACCGTGACCCACAGCGAGCGCTCCTTTGGGACTCCTGGCATTTGCCCGTTTGGGCCAGAACTATGAAGTTCATGCATGCCGTTCGAAAGTTGTCCGGAAACAGGGCATGAATTGCTTCAGGTTAGCAGCCGTGCTGCCGGCCAGTTCAGCCCAGAACAAGATAATGCCGCGTAGTAACTCAACTAATGGGCAGCAATTACACCGATCTTATATGACACCAGCTCCTGAGCAGAATCTGTGTAAAAAGAAAATCGATGCGAACCATCATTCGTTTAGGTACAGGTTATCGCTGCTATCTGCCCGCGCGCGTCAGATTATAGAGCTGCCAGATTAGTTGACAAAGATTCGCTGTACGTCGGCCCGATATTTCGCGACGAGAATAATACGTACACTTCGAAGAATCGGGGCTTGGGCCTCCATGAGCTGTTTTTTTTTTACCGCGCGTGTCTATCCATACATGCTTTACAGACAACGTTCAAACAGTTAACGTCGGTTGTGCTTGCGTAAACTACCAATACATGCATTGACATGGGATCACTGCTTAAGGAACATGCATTGGCAGGGACTGGCGCACTGCTTCAAAGTACCTGTATTAGCAGAGACAGGAGCGCTGCTTTAAGGTACATGCGATGGCAGGGAATGACGCATTGTTTTTAGGCATTAAAATATTATCCCCAATCTAGAACCGCGAGCCTTTTTGACGGCCAGAATCTCTTTCTCGTCCCCAAAAACGCCAATGAGACACACGCATGAACAAGCTTAGCCCTTACTTGCACAGGTTGTGCAGCTTGTGCATGACATCGATCAGCTGTTCGGCGTTGTGGGCGTCCTTGGCCCGGGCCAGGTGCCGCTGTACAGTGGCCCACGTCGGGAGGTCACAGGGGAGCAGCACCAGCGCCATCTCTGAAGCAGAGGCGCAAGGCTCGAGAGTGTGACGCAGAGCACAGCCCTCCGCAGCAGTCCGAGGGGGCACAAAGGCCGACGTGACGACGGTGCCGAACACATACCGGATCCCGAAGGTGAAACTACGAACGCCTGAACGATCGCCCGTGCTCGATGAAAACGCAGATGAGCACAGCTTGATGACTCGTGCATTGAACTGAAAACGTGGGCACATTCGGGGAACTCTAGCGCAGTTCTGACAACACGTCCGTGAAGCAAAACAAACCGCAGCCCATCACCGGGCGGCGGCAGCGCCGCACCGCCCGGCGGTCCGCCACCCACCTCATCAGAGACGGTCCCAGGGCGTCGACTCCCAGCGCGCGGCTCGCTCACAACGCGCACATTCCACCGGGGCTACACTCGCACCACCACACCGACCCGCTGCGGGCGTCACCCCTCGCGTCGATCCCGACGCAGCTCCGTCGGCGCACTGGGCCGGCCGTGCTAACGCTCACCAAAGGTCAGTGGCGGCGGCCGGCGGCGCGGCGCGCCGTCCCCGTCACGTGACACCGCGCCGCCAGCGTCGGGCGGCCGTCGACCGCGGCGTGGCGCCTCCTCCCCCTCTTCGCCGGCACCGACGGGTATTTATAGCCCGCGGCGGCGACGGCGCGCCGGCTGGAGCCGACGCCGCGCGGGGACGCGGCGCGACGCGACGCGGCTCCGCGAGCGCGGCGCGCGCGCGATTTCCGTCCCCTCACGACGCTTGTCGCCGCTCTCAGCTCTTCAAACAGCGGAAGTCGAAGGCCGGGCCCGCGTCGGAGCCGTAGTCCGAGCCCGGGTCAGAGACAGGCGAAGAGCGCGTTGACCTGTTGGAGCAAGAGAGGACGCGCCGCTCCAGTGCCTCAGCACCGCACGGCGCCCCAACCCAGGCGCCGTGTGCGCGGCCGGCGGCAAGTGCGATCGATGCCCGTCCCCAGCTGTCCGCCGCTCGTTCCGCCCGTAATCCGGCGGTTCCGCACCGATTAATCATCGGGGGGACGGGCGACCGACTCGCCCCAGTCGACGGCGACGCGGCGCCAACGCAGATAATCGACGCTGCTCGCGCGCTGAGAATGATTTCCGTCGCCTTGGGAACGGGAGATGCTGCGCCAGACAGATCAACGCGGCGCGGAGTTGGATGGCCGCTGTCAATGCTGAATCGTAAATCGGGTTTTCCTGCGTCGTGTGTACTTCGCCGTCCTTCAATCAACTAGTTTCGTCAGAGGCTTTGGTGGGATGGTGACAAGCGCCAATTGTAAGCTCCAAGGGGTCATTCGGCAGAGCTCTCAAAAGTGGAGGAGGGGGGGGGGGGGGGGGCGGAGTGAGGATGGGAGTGCAAGACCTATTGATTTCGCTCGAGCAAATTTTATTTACACGTGGGTGGATGCGTTTCACAGTATTGCGCAGCAGCACCACAAATGTTAGAATCGTACAATTCACTGATTACGCACTGCAGTGAAACCTGCCCAGGAAATGAATTGCTGGGAGGCTGGAAAGGGCCTCAAGGTTGTCGAGCACAGAGAGCAGCAGTCTGTCGATCCTGAGATCCGTGCGTGCACGCTTTGCCATGATAACTCATGATAATTTTGATGTACATTTGTGATACGCTGTTAACATGTCGTATCCCGCGAGTGTAGTTGCATTGATAGCGAACCTATCCACGTGGGTGATTCAGCAAGGTAAGGTCAGGGCCGTCGCGCCGCGGTGCATGCTGTCGATCCACGCATCGATCCGCCGGCCCACACAGGTGGGCTGGCCCTCTCCCCGCTGCAGCATACTGCTCATTTCGCTCGGACGCATTTCGCGCTCCTGTGAGGCGGGGATAGATTCCGCTCAAAATGCGATTTTGGTGTATTGGAAGCAGTCGCCACGCTAGAGGCGGCCTCACGACGTTCGCAGAGGCAACTGCAGTACGGTCAGGCACGACGCAAAATGCGACGCATTAAGTGCCGCGAGGAGAGGCAGGCCGCCGCACTGTTTCGAGTTCGTCGCCGGGGTAACGGGCGACTGTGCTTGAGTGACGGCTCGGTGGAGTTGTGAAGCCATCTGCCAGGTGTGACTTTGAATACGTGTTGCACGCCTGCAGCCATGGACCCCATCTCGTCGCGCGCGCGTGACGCACACACCTCCTGGCTATTTATCAATGTCTTGGAAGATCTATGTAAGTCGGCACCAAAACCTGCAATTGCTGGCAGCAGTGGCGTAGCTAGGATTTCGTTCAGGGGGGGGGGGGGCACATCGAGCCCTTTAAATGTAGGAGCCCCTCTTCGTCGCCACGTGAGACTTTTTGGATTTAGGATTACGAGTGCATTTCTGGGCGCGGGATCCTATATCGATGCATCGGAAGCCTTTCTTTGGATTTAAAAGTCCTAGGGGCATTGTTAACTATCAAAACGCGCTGCAGTCTTCAGCCCCGGGAGTCCCCACCACCGCCAGGAAAGAACGCAAGGCCGCCAAAGCTCCCCCTTGGCCACGCTGCTGAGTGGAGGCCATGGCTGCACGTTACGGTTGGACACACTTCCTCCCATCTCCCTCTCTCCCGTATTGTCTCGTATTGAAATGTCTCCCGTATTCCAATTCGCAGCATCACGGTCGGAGAGTGAGCCACTTAGAAGTGGCGGTAAAGCATCAACAACACAAGAGCCACAGGACAGGCATCGAGCCAGCGAATGGCAGCGCTCCGCGGTGCCAGGAAGTGCCGCTCGACCGGCGCGACCTCCGCATGACTTGGAACGCAATGGGACCGCAGAATTGAAAGAAGACCCGGCTTGGCTTTCGCGGTCAAAAGCCAGTGTGTTAAATCCCACCAACTGCCGGCCGTAAGCCGTCAATGGATGTCGCTAATTGCACGCCGGTGGTTTTTCGTTGCAGGCCCGCTAATTCATGCGGCTCGGTGAGAGCGATAAACGCACCGCAGCAGCGGCTGGTGAGCTTCCGGACCGAAACGTATCCGCCGTTGTGGCCCAGGGCTGGCACGGCGTGGCTTGGACCTGACCCCACACAGCGGTGTGGGAGGGCCGTGCCATGTCACACAGCCTCGCCAGTGTCATGCACGCTTTACATTCGCTCTTCACTCCTGAGGGGAGGTGGATTAGCTTATGGTAACAGCGTAACAGCTAACAACGTAACAGCGGTAGCGGGGCACGGCCACTTTTGATGTCGTTTTGGAGCGTTGAATTTACTGCAGACAAGGTGTGGCTGAACTCTTAAGTGCTGCATCTGTGACCGGTCGCATCCCAACGCCGACGAGACGGTGGGCGTCGCATGACCATTAGGATACGACCGGTCACTCCTGCGACTCGTTCCCTCGTGCGGAGGAGTCCAGCGGGTTCAGGCCATTTCTCACTGACGTCATAAAACCGCGCTGCCGCCATCAGTTGCAATTGTTGCGAGGGCGCGAATGACTTCCAGTAAGAGCAGAGCCACTTAAGCTGGACGACTCTGCCGCCGCTGAGTGGCGGCCCATCAGAGCGGCTGCAGTCGCGACAAAGCTGCCGACGGCGGAGTGGGCGCCCGCTGCTGACGCAGGGGTCCCAACACCGACGGCTGTGCCACTTGTGACGTCAGTACCAGTGCCGTCACGTGTGACGTCACCGCAGGCTTCTGCTGATGGCGGGCGCGACGTCGGCACAGAAACGTTCGACTGCGCGCCGATGTGAGGCTGCCGCAGGTATGCACGGAACGGAAAATGAGATCTCGCCTCAACGCGGGGACGACCGATCAACACCGTGACGTCACCGTGACGTTCGCGTCATCATCAGCTGGCGACGGCGGGCGATGTCTGTGTGGGGGTGCGCGCACCGCCAGTTACCGTCGTTGCCGTTATTGGCCAAATGTCCGGCGACGCTTACGTCATTACGACATCATACGCTATTACGTCGTGCCGCTGTGTTTCGGCGCGGTGGGCTATTGCCTCTTTCGCAGAGGTGGGTCTGGTTCAGGCGCACGCTCAGCCTCCATCCAACACGTGGTGACCCATACACGCGTCGTGCTCCCGGTACGCGCACGCGTCTAATCGGCACGCCCGACAGGCGCCACCTGTGGACAAAGGCGGGTCGGGGCGGGGGCAGGTCCGGAGCTCGTCGGTGCAGGTGGAGCGGCGAGTTGGCGCGCGCGCCTGACGTTGTGCCACAAGTGGTGTGCGACACTTGGACGTGCGTGCACGTGAGGACCGAGTGAGGGGAGTTCCATGTTCCAGGTATCATCGTCATCAACATGCAGGAACGCGTGGCGGGCGGCTTTGATCGGCGAGGGCGTTGGAATAAATGGATGGGGAATCATAGCCTACTCGTTGCGCAGTCATTCCGGCACGTAACGCATGAAGTGCCGCCATGTTGGATGGGACCCAGGGACGGAGACGAACAGGGGACACGACCGCGCTCAACACCAGCTGAGCCAATGATAGCTCGACGCCTCCTCCGGGACGAACCGCCACTCCCATTGCACAGCAGGTCAAATGTACCACTGGACTGTTCAAAGTCGCAGCAGGGCACCTTATCATTTCATCTTCCGTTCCACGAAAACTAAATACGTCCGACCATTGAGTGCACTGTAGGGACATTTCAATCTGGGGCTCATTACGGGTTATGCTGCCCGCAAAGCTTCCCGCCCAATGATGCAGATAGCCAAGCTCGTCCTTTGGAGATTGTTTCCGCACCTGATAGCGCTAATGTGATGTCATTTATGCACGCTATTCTGTCATGCCAGTCATTTATACACGCTCCTCTGTCATGCCACAGAAACATTATGTGGAATGCTCCCACACGTCCGATTAACTTTCAACCAATTACGCCTGTCCAAGCTGCAGGCCGGCGATTTGCAAATGGCTGGAATGCCAACGGGTACATTAAAGCGATCTCGCTCGAGATAAGCTACCCAAACTACAGGCACGATCTCAGCAATCCAGCAAGGTTTTGCCGCTTTATCTAGCTGTGCTTGTCTGAGCAAGATGAAACAGATCACATAAAAGTGGGCCTATCTCAGATAAGCTTACCGAATTACAGGTAAAATCTGAACGAACCACCAATTGCTTTGCGATGTTATCTATCTGAGTTTGCTTGGGCTAACCACAATCAATTATGCTATTCATTATGGCCATCAATTTGCAGACCCGGATCGGGATAAACCAATGAATAAGACCAACTAACACCATTATTTTGCAACCGCAATTCATCAGCCCAGCGCACATAAAATTAAGTTGCAGAAAACACATGTTGTAAGCCATTGTACAGACAGGTAATAAATATCAGATGTCGCGATAACATTTAGGGCGACATTTCGAAGCTTCGTTTGATGAATGCCAAGCGAACTGTCAGCGCGAATAGCTGGGCTTCACGAGGGCTACCATAGCTGGGCTACCATCAGAATATCACGACTGCTTCGTTGCAGGTAGCACCACATATTTCGCTCTGACCTTGAGCGATGCACATTTGGTTTCTGAACATATGATGGGCTGTTTGC